CACTGCTCCTGGAGCGCACTGCCGGACCGCAATCGCGTGCAGTGTGAACGCTCTGATCCGTTAAAATGGGCGCGGAAAAAATACGCACCACAGACGGTGTGTGTGAACCTGGCATTACATTTGTATGCCAGCCCGGTCTGTTATGTTCTCGTGCTCCATTTTGGCGCGCTGCATTCGGATTGGTTCGGATAGCATACTGCGGGAGGTCGGGGCGCAGAAAATCGTGCTATAAAGCGATTTAGAAATCGCGCAAGCTCAAATCGCAATTTTATGATGATTTCGATTAATCATATTGTATGATTAATGTATACAGCATCTTTGTTTGGATTGTGATTCAAATGCAGTGGTTGCTTCTAATTTTGAATGGAAAGAGCACAGGCAAAGCCTTTGTTTATACAAAGAGGGGTTTTTTTTGTCTTATTTATTTGATTAGATTTGGTGTTTGTTTTAAAATTTCAATTTAGTTTTGTTATTTGACATTTCTGTTTCACAAAGAAACGTGCAGCATTTTTTCCAAGCAATAATATAAGGACACCTTTTCATTTATAATTTGTCTTAAATCTAAATGTTTAAAAAAAAAATCCTGAGAAAATTGAATCATGAAATCAGTATCGTGAATCTCATCGAATCGTGAGTTGAGTGAATCATTACCCCCCTAAACATTACAGAAATTATGTTGACCCCATCAATACAGTACAAACAGCTTTCAGTACCTGCTCTGTAACAAACTTATTGACATCCTCTTCTTCAGGCAGAAAGTCTATCCAGCTGAGTCCCGCCTCCAACCACATCGCTCCAGCTTTTTTGTGGCTCTGAGAACAGAGAAGTAAAAAAAAATAAACAAATAAATTCTGAAACGGCAATTTATGCGAATAATATTTCATAAGCATTTGCCACAGCATGATACTCACCAGTCCTTTGCAGAGAAGGTTAAGTATTTCAACAAGCAAGATTGCTGCTTTGCCCATAGGGAGAAGAGGTTTGGACACTTCCCTGTGGATGATTTAAAAAAAATAAAAAATAAAATAAAAAAAAGGTCAGATGGCGTGTACATCATTTTATTTGATGGTTTATAATCTTTGCATAAAAGTATCTGAAACCCAAGATTCAGTGCCAAACCTAAAGAGCTGGCCCATGGGGATGCCTCCCTCTTGCAACATGGGTGTGATTATCTCAGCCATGTAGAGCCAAATATGAGGAATGTCAATGGCCATGTCATCTGCTATCTCCAGAATCTCCTGCAGTCTAGAGTGGGTGAAAACAAACAATAAAGTGCACAGCCACACAGAAACCATTTATATTGTGTAGAAATCATGAAGCCTCAAGCTAATTGAAATAAAATAAGTTTAAGTACTCAAATTTTTAAAACTAAAACTTAAAGATAAATATTATAATAGACAAATGCACATAAAATTACTAAAACTTACATTAAAATGAAAACTGAAAAGTATAAAAATAAAAGCCAAATCAAAATATTAAACACTAGTATATAAATACAAAAATATTGGGAGAGTTTTGATAGCCCTATCATGTAGCTACTTATGTATTTAAGCAAATTAAAACAAACATCTGGGAAGAGAAAAATAAAAGCCTTTTTTTTGTGGTAGGGACAATAAGAATATTGGCAGCAACATTAGAGCAAGCCGTTACATTTTGATTAAAGATAGCAAAAAGACCAAAACATAAAAACACAGATAAATACAATAACGCCAAGGTTTGAAAAAATCAATTTAAAATAATTTACATTAAATAACAGGCCTTTTGCGAGCTTTCTTTCCTGATCAAGACTCAAAACATGGAACAAGCATGAAAAGCTGTTCCTCAATCCCAAGAGTATAGGTCAGTGGCCCAGACACGTAGCAAAAAACAGAGGTCATGAGTGTAAAAAATGGCTACAATGTTCAGATGTCATATGTGCATCCCTACCATATAATTGTACAGTATAATAAACTGCAGTGGTCTATGAACTCACCCCTTGTAGTACTGCTCAGGAAGTAGTATTCTAGCACTAACAAGCTTCTGAAACAGCAGGCCCACATGCTCTCTAGCGATGGTGCTGCGCTCCAGTGTGGACTCTACACCGTTCCGTACAAACACGAAGAGCAGCGAGGCGCTGTTCAGCTCCTGCACACATTGCACTGCCTCCTACAAAAGAGTTACAAGAATAATGTAAGTGGAAGATGCCAGGGTGAATTTACAGGTTATTTTCAAAATGTTTTCTAGGTCAATAATATATATGGATGTACATACCTTCATGTCGTTGATGTGGAGATACTCTTCAATGATGGATTTGGACTTCTTGTCCAGCTCTTCCTCATTCAGGGCGGGTTTGGCTTGAACAGGTGGTGGTGGAGCAGGAGCCGACATTGGCTTCACTGAGAAACCCAAGCAGGTAAAGAGTCGATCAATTTATAAATCATCAACTCAAAGACCGGTACTGCTGGTGCAGCTCAGGACAGTTCTGTCAGTCTGTTGACTCCTACCTGTCTCCTTGCTTCTATCGCGCTCCCGACTGCCTCGATCACGGTTCTCTGTCATGCTGGACACGCGGCGCACAGAATCTGCTGGTCCACGGCCGTCTCCTCTGCGGTCCTCATTTTCACGGCTGAAGCTGCGTTTGGTGATGGCCTGACGGGGTCTGTCTAGGCCTCGGTCATCCCGCCTACTATCAAATCGGTCAAAGTGATCCCGATCACCACGGTCTCTGTCACCACGATCTCGATCGCTACGGTCCCTACTGGAGCTGTTCCTGGAAAGTAGATAGGTGTTAAATAGCAAGTCAAAAACTTGTGTAATAAGATTACATTAGAATTATTACCATGCAGTACTCATTTGCCCTACAGAACAAAAACAGCACTACAAAATTACCTTTGAGGCACTCTACGATCAGAGTCAAGTGAGGATGATGATGATGATCCAGACTGCTGCAATGCAGAGAAACGGTTGATTGTGCTAGTGGCAGGTCTCCCCTGGTCTGCATCAGATAAAAGGACAGCATTAGACAGCATTGACATTTTCCATAAAAAAAAAAAAAAACACTTGACAACCAAATCTTTACATTATCTGAAGAAAATGAGTGACACTTGCAAAACGTGTGCTACAATGTTGTGGGTGGTTGCTAGGTTGTTGTTGAAGTTACTAAGAGTTGTTGCTACAATGTTCTGACAACTAAGACCACCAAGTCTCTAAGACATGCTGGTTCCTAAATTAAGAATCATGTCTAGAGATGCACCGATTGACCGACCAGTGAACGGAATCGGCCGATTTTTTGCATGTCTCACGTCTTGCTGATTCCGAGCCGATCCTTTTATAGCCAGCAGCACCGGCAATGACGTCACAGCCACGTGCACGCTTACAGTCGCGTGTAAACATGTCGTTTTGCGTGAGAATGATTCTAATTTTAATTGCATTTAGTATAAACGCCGACTGATAACGTAATGATAATGTATTTATAGCCGTTTGAATGAATCGGTTGAATGAATGAATAAATGACTCACTCATTAAAACAGTCATTTTCCGCCACCTACTGGTGGTTTAGTCATTTAAAAGTATCATTGCATTTTTTCAACATTTATTTGGGTTAAAAAAATCCAAGTAAAACAATAATCTTATAAAATTAAAATTTTAAATTTTGCAGTGTAAATGCATTTATGGCACCTCAGCTTCATCAAAAAGTCTGTGTAAATGCATCTAATGCCACTTCAGATGCAGCTTTTGTTTCCTCAGCAGTGGTAAGATAGAGTTTGTTAATAATTTCATTTGAATGGTAACAACTCTACAGTTTCTTATTCTAACTGAATTAATTGAAACAAAGTAAGAATTTGATGTGAAAGATGACATTTAATAAGGTTAGGGGGAAAAATGACGGCACGGGTGTTTTAATATAAATGTATCTTTTTTGAAGGGAACCGATTGTCTTCAGAAAAGTTTTTGTCATTTTCATTTAATCTTTCCTATAATGCCTGATAAAGCAGTGTTCATGAGTGCAGCGCTGCTTTGATTACAGCTGTTACAGGGGAAACCGCTATTTCTGAGGCTCCAAAAGCGCCTCCTGCTGGCAGAGAATGAATGTGCACGTTCAATAAGCCCGTCCGCTGTTTTATATTTACATTATATAGATATACATTTCCCCCAGGGGAAGTGCCGACACAGTGTAAGTCTGTGGAAAACACTGGAAAAGCAATACCACCTTTCCTAAAGTCACATGATTTGAGGTATCACTCATTGGTAAACAGCAGCAATTGCTGAAATCAAAGTTTAAATGAATATGTAAATATGTGCTGCACGCTTTTTCCATAACGAAATAAACACGCAACAAAAATGACAGCGTAGAGAAAACAGCAGTTAAGAAAGCATCTGATCATAAAGATGTGGATAAGTTTGCACCAGCTCTGCAATCGGCACCACAGTCAGGTCACGTTTATTTATATAGCGCATTATACAATAAATTTATTTAAAGCATGCAGCTTTTGATTACTATAAGGTTTTAAGAGAGCTAATGTGAATAACAATTTATCAAAAATAAAATGTCTTGGCACTTTATTTTGATCCATATATGACTTACAAAAGGCGATGTCAGGCAGAAGGATGCATCATTCAGTCAGTCAATAACTTCTTCATACAGTTAATTAAATGGTGAATGAGAAAGTGTCTCATCTCTTTGTGTACCAAATATATTTTTGTGTTGTAAAAAATAATTGTAATCGTACAATAGTAATATAATTGTTTGACAATTGACATTCACTTCAAAGCTGAAGTGATTACCTTGTTTTATTTATCAGTTAGTTTAACTCAGTGTAACATATGTGTAACTCAGTATTTTAACTAATTGTAAAAGCTGAATAATAGAACAAAGCCTACTGATTAATTGGTGAAATAATCGACGATTAGTCGACTAACCGGTGTAATAATCGTTAGATTAATCGATTATATAAAATAAAATAATCGTTTGTTGCAGCCCTACATTAATAGCTGGGCTTCTCTATGCTAAGTGAGGTCCAAGGTAAATAAGAGTAGGCGATTGCTCACCTTGATCTCCAGTGGACTTGGCTCCTGTGCCTCCACTGCTCCCTTTGCCCCAGCTACCCCAGGAGCCCTTTCCTCCTGGGGCCAGCAGCTGGATGTTGAAATCACCAGGCTGAAGATAAAAAAAAAAAAGGAGGAAAAATGGCTAAGCACATCAAACAACGAATCATTATGCTATGAAAAAATATCATTTTCAACAACTACATTATAAAAGTTGGATATTCTAAAATAGAAGAAATGTTACAAAGCCTCACCTTAGTAATTTTACTGAGGCGACTGGTGTCAATCGGTCTGTTCTTTGTGGTAATAGGCACTATGTTCCAGCCCTCATCCTGGGTCTGGCTACCACGGCCTCCAGAGGAGTGCGGCCCACCACGGCCCCCTCGACCCTGACTGGAGTCTTTCTTAGACAGCAGCTGTTGCTGTACTTTTATTTGTTCTCTGTGTTCTTCCAACTCTGCCTCTTTATGGATCTGATCAATGGTCTTGGGACCCTGATCTCCTCTTCTGGGCACCCAGTTGTTCTGTGTGACAGAGACCACATACACAGTTAAAAGAAAGAAGATATAAATAGTGAGAAGAACTGAAAACATACCATATGTGTTCTAAGTTTTAAGAACTGTAAATGAGGTTCCTGCCAAATACCTTTTTAAAAAAATTTGCTAAACCAAGCATGTGGTTACCTTTCGGAGGTCTAATACATCCTGAAGCATGAAGCGGATTCTAGAAGACGTCTTCCTCTCTTTAATGATCTTCTCCATCTGGTGGAAGTACTGATCCATACGAGGCTGCATACAATAGGCCAACATTAAATCTGACTGTAGCAAAGTAAACGACTGTCAAAAATGCTATACAATAGAAAAATATAGTACACAAAAGGAATGTAGACCTAACGTAATCAAAGCTCATATCCCATTATAAACCCACAAGAGTTCTGATGGGTAATTGATTATGATTGGTCAATCACAGCATCCTGCTTAAGTACAAATGGTGCTGTACCTTGGCCTTCTCAAAGTCTAGATCTTTTCCAATGGTGGATAGCAGCCGGCAGAGGCACTCTAAGCTCTCCTCATCATGGTTCTTCAAGAGCTTGACAATGCAGTCATGCATTATGGGTTCTGTCAGCATTTTCAGCTTGAACAGCTCTCCGATGAACTTGATGTTTCCAAGCGACCGTCTACGTGCCTTGTCCTTGGCATCCACCAGCTCCTCATTCAGGCGCTGACGTTCCTCTTCCTAAGGTAAAATAAAACATTGTTTCCATTTTAATAGAACCATTTCATACACTTGTACAGAATTAATTTTACAAATGTGGCAAGACGTCACCTCAGTGGCAGCATCCAGCTCTTTTTGTTTCTGCTCAAAGATCACGTCATCATCCTTGTCCTTTTCAAACTCCTTCTGACAACGATTGAGCAGTAGTTTACGGAAATTCACAGTGACTCCCGGTTTGTCTGAAGTGGGGACTTTAAGCTGGAAAAGAAAATCAGTAACAATCTCAATTATTTCCCCATTCACATTTCCTACAAAACTAGCAATTCAGGTAAACAGCCAAGTAATTCTGTCATCAATTACTCAAATGTGGTAAACAAAAGCTGAGCGCGAGAACCAATGAGGCTTGTTTACACATCAAGAAAGGACGGTTGAGCCTCTGTTGACCATTTTTTATGATCTCTATATGTATGTGCGCTGATCAATATTTATGTGAATAAAGGCTAAATTAAATGAGTTAATCTCTTCAGAAGAGAGACTTAAACCGCTTGATCCATATGGATTTCTTTACAGTGTTTTTATTAACTTTGTGAAGCAAAAAATTTTGGTACAAAGGACTTTGTCAAGTGACAGAAATCTTTTAGGCTTACTGTCATTTGCATGTTTCGAAGATTAACTTAATTCTTATGGATTTGAAACGACATGAGTGCAACAAGTGGATAGTTCACTAAAAATGAAAAAATGAATCGTCTACATTTGCCACTGCAGAAATGGCAAATCAATGAACTTATTACTGACAAACACTATTAAAGCTCCTCAGTTCCTCAATCCCATCAGAGTATATCAGTGGCCCAGACACGTGGCACAAAATGGAGGTCATCATTGGAGCCCACACATGCAAGCCAACATACAGATGAACGTTACTCACCCCCATAAGGCAGCGGCACATGTTGGCATAAGCTACAGAGAAGTTGGGTTCAGAGATGGCTTTCTCAAAGATGAGGTCAATGACACCCTTGAGCCTCTCTTCAGTGTCTATGGTGAGCTCCGTCACCTGCTTCATCAGCTGCTGGAACATCTGAGGCGTGAGCTTGTTAAGGATGCTGCGCACGCGGCGGAACAGCTCCTGCGTTTTCACAGCTTCTGAGTCTTCCTTATCCTCCTCTCCTCCACGCTCTCGGCCTTGCTTCTTCACTGAAGGCGTCCAAGCATTCTCAGCCTGGTTGAGTTCCACATTGTCTTTAAGAGACAAGCTGGTGATGATCTTGGGGTTGCGACTCATTTGGTCTTTGCCTCGACCCGGCTGAGGGCGCCGTGCAGACTGAGAGGAGTGCAACTTTTAAAAATAAATGATCGATCTCAACATACAGCAACATTACTTTTAACTGAATTCTGAATCATAAGAGAAAAGAAAGAGTCAACTTACTGGTCCTCGCCCTCCTCCTCCGGATGACTGTCTACCCAAGTTAGCATATGAAGGTGTGAAATCAGGCCCACAGTTCATCAGACTCCTGGGATCCAAGGGCCGCAAGGGGGTTTTATTTGCCTGTTGTCCAAACAGCAAAGAGCAAGAGGGTGATTAAAATATTTAGCAAGACACAGCACAGGTTAAACCTGTTGGGTCCAGATGGAAGCCTCACCTTGTCCAAGACAACGTCACTGATGTGCGGCAAACCCTCTGGCTTGTGCATGCTTGCACCAATGAACTGGAAACCAAGCAGGAATTCTCGATCATATTGTTTCTTCTCCTCTGGGTTGATGGGCTTCCATTGCTCTGCAAAGGGGAGAGCGAAGAGAGAAACAAGGTCCACAAACATTTTGAATAAGAATTTCCCCTGCACAAAACAAACTAAAAATCAAGAAAGCCTTGATGTACCACTTATCCAAGTTATGGATTACAGGTTTGGTTTATTTATTTTTTTGCATTCCCATTAAATAAACTTAATTTAAAAATGTTAATTTTATTCACTGTCGAATGCACAAAATAATGCAATGACAGTTACATTTTATTTTTTAATAAAGTATATAACTCCCCCCAAAAATTGTATCAAAACATGTCAAATGCATTAACGTAAATATACACAAAGGGTCTTTGTATAAATTTAAAAGTCTGGGGTCAGTGAATCAGCAAGACAACTGTTTTCAACACTTATAATACAACATGTTTCTTGAGCATCAAATCAGCATATTAGAATAAGATCTGAAAGATCATGTGACACTAAAGACAAAGTAATGGCGGCTGAAAATTCAGCTTTGCCATCACAAATATAAATTACATTTTAAAACGTATAAAAATTGAAGTTATTTTAATATTACGGATTTACTGTTTGTTTTTTTTATCAAATAAATGTGGTCTTGGTGAGAATAAGAGATTATTCAAAAACATTTAAGAAATCTTACCCACTCCAAACTTTTGAACGGTAGTGTGCTTACAGTAAACTGCCCTCTAAATAAAATGACTCTCATATTGCTGTAATCTATAAAACAGGATGAACATTCTCAAATGAGAACCAATTAATCAGACTTCTAACCTTCTTTATATTGATACTTCTGTTCCACAGGTTTAGACGCCTCAGGCTCAATATTTTCTGTGTCAAGCTTGTCCTCTTTGTCCTCCCATGTTTCGTCTGACTCTTCAGCTGGTGGGGCAGGGGTTGGAGCTGGGGAGGGCTCTTTCTGAGCAACCTCTGGCTCAAGAGCAGGCTTTTCCTCCTCAGGCTGAAATGGATACAGAAGATTTATAAATGCACAACTGAACTCTTCATAACAGTCACAGAAGTCCTACTGTAATAAAGCCAAAATGTGTCATATTACTACAAACCTCTTTGAAGGCATCTAGGACATCTCCGACATCTTTCTTATTCAGATCCTTGATCTTCTTTTTCTTCTTTGGCACTGTTGTCGCAGCAGCTAGGAAAAGAGAAACCAAAGTCAAACTTCATCTTGAAGGAGAGAAACCAATATGCTAAGTTTTTCTCAAGAACTTATTTCCCCACCTTGCATAGTCATTTCCTCAACAGGGCAGACTGTTACAGGGGCAGGTGTCTCCTCTGCTTTCTGCTCCTCTGCTTCCTCTACAGGTGCTTCCACGGCCATAAGGCAGCTCTGTTGGACCTGAGGAACTTCTTGTTCAGCAACTGGATTAGTGGAGCTCTCTGGCTTCACTACTGGAGCCTCTGCAGAGTTCTCAGGCAAACCGTTAAGCAAAGGCTGTTCCTTTGGCTCATCAACGACTGGTTCTGGAACAGGTGTCACTGCGGTTACAGGGGCGGTGTCCTTGGAAGCAACGTCACCATCATTGGCTACAGCAGGAGGAGGCTCCACAGGGGTGGAGATGACCGCAGCCGGGCTAGATGTGTCAGATGCAGCCTCTGTTTCGACCACAGGTTCAGCCACAGGTTCTGGCTCTTTCTCTTTGGCTACCTCTGACTCCTCTTGCGCAACCCCAGTAGAAGTCTGCTCTACTGGAGGGGCGTCCTCAGGCTCCTCCTGTTGAACTGGGGCATCAGGGAGTACTGGAGCATCCACACTGTCACCAGTTTGAGGCTTTGAAAGTTGGGGATTGTTTGTGGGAGGAGGAGACTGTGGGAGTGCAGGGGATATCGCAGGGTCCTCTCCTGGAGGAATGGGAATCTTGCTCACAGGTGAAGCAGGTCTGACCTCTGACACAGGTTCAGAGTCAGTGGCTGAAGGTGCAAGAGGGGCTTGCTCTGGCGTCTTTGATGGAGGAGGGGTGGACACAGCTGCAGGAGGAGCCATGGACTTCGCTTGATCATCTGAGGATCAAGGACAGGAAAGAGTACAAACATAAAATAAGCGCAATCAAAAAATATATAAAAATATTCCACCTGCTGTTTTAACATTCCTGGGGCCGGACTCACAAAACATTCTTAGAATGAAATTCTTCTTTGCTGTTAGATATTTTCCTTCTCATTTTCTAACTTTGGAATATTTTTTATCCTAAAACAAAATCATTCTAAAAGATATTTTTTCTTAAGATTGTTCTAAAGACAAAACTTAAGAATTTGAATTTCTGATAAGAACATCCTTAGAAATTAGTGTAAATAACCTTAAAAGGTTAACCTCCAACTTGGTGTTTGAGTGGTTTTAAACATTAAGCATTACAATATAACACTAGCTACATATACATATTACTTATAGAATGAATGAGTACACTGAAGTGACACCACTTATTGATTGAACTTAAACAACAATCGTTATGCATGACGTGACATTTCTCTGAATTTGTAGGATGGTGGGCAAATGAATACAACAGAATAACAATATAAAATACACAATGAAGGTACTGAGTGCTGAATTCTGGTCAAGCTTACTGCAACAAAAGGAAGCACAAAAAGACAGCCTTTGAGCTGTTTTTGATCAGAGTCTTCAGCAAGAAGTGGCATAAAATCAGATAACACCAAAGCCTGTTATTTTCATCTTAAGAAAAAAAATGATGTCCTTAAAAAAATATCTGAGAAAAATTAAGTATAAGAATCTGCTTAAAAGTACTACTGCTCCAAATAAAATGCATTTCTTGCTAACATCACTTCAGGTTGACATTGTTTGTGATTTGATAACCCTTTTGAAACTTTTGGTGCCAAAAACGTTTTTCCCATTGACATTTTGAGCCATGGAAATAACGTTTGAAACTCCCTGATTATTTCCACATTTTCCAGGACAGTGGGAACTCAAACTTCAACGTCAAAAACCTGTTTGGGTATTTTCAAGAAAGCCCACTCACCAGCTCTGATCACAGCAGCAACAGCCGGAACACTTTCACCATTGGTCTGGACAGGACCTGCCACCTCTGGACCAGCAGTCTAAGAACAATCCGTTAAAAGCAACATTAGGGCTGAACGATTAATTGCATTTGCGATAATATGAAAAAACGCGATTTTTCAATCGCAGAGGCTGCGATTACACTTGGTCACATGACACGCGAGAGTAAAGAGGTGTGTTCAACTTGAAGATCGATTGGTGTATGACATCAATGTACGGCGAGAGAAAGCATGGAGACGTCCCGCTCTCTTATAGCTCTCGCAGTACTTTGATGACACACACCGATCGATCTAAGCAGCGCTGCTTCAAGTCGAGCGCGGGCCATCAGCAGAAAAAGAAAAGAAATAAAACAGTAAACAGTCAAAGGACTTAACTTGGAATGGGTGATGTATCGCTTTGTGAAAGGGAAGAGAAAAGCCATAGATGAAGTCGCACAGACCCCGGCAGGTGCTGGTCATTCAAAAGTTAAATGCAGAAAATATGACGAGGCATATCTTGCTCTCGGCTTCACTCACTGTGTCTATACCGGACACCGGGCCGCAACAGCTCTACACTGGACGCGACAAAGCGACCGTTGCAAATAATTTTTTACAAGACACTTTGTGTCAGTACATCATAAATAGAGCAAGGGGCGAATTCCAAACGGCTTTTTTGCACCCTTGAATGGCACTTCGGGAAGGGGGCGCCATTTTGCTTCAAGTCGAGCGCGGGCCATCAGCAGAAAAAGAAAAGAAATAAAACAGTAAACAGTCAAAGGACTTAACTTGGAATGGGTGATGTATCGCTTTGTGAAAGGGAAGAGAAAAGCCATAGATGAAGTCGCACAGACCCCGGCAGGTGCTGGTCATTCAAAAGTTAAAAGGGACGTTCCAAACGAAAGTGAACAACTGAATCCCTTCACGAAGTGCCCTTCCAGAAGTCCGTTAGCGAAGGGAACATGCGATGGTCGCTTTACGGAAGTGATTTCCATTTGGGATCATGTGATCTTCAGTTAGGAGATCTTGCGATGCATTTTAAAGCAAAGTTGTGGTTGATTTCGACTTCACATACAAACGTAAGTAGAATAGGCTAATTAAAATTGTCTTTATTTTAATGTAATACAAAATATTTTTCGTCAGTGATAGAAATATGATTTAATACGGTAGTGTAAGCAAGTTTAGTTTAAAAAAGTATAATTGTAAGTAAGTCACAATTAGACAATATCTGAATAAAATAATAATAATAAGAAGATTTGCAACAGCTGATGGAGTGCTGAATGCTGCACGCAC